AGGGAGGACCCTGTGGCTAGGAGTAGAGCTGGGCAGATAGTGGCCAGTGGGGATGCTGGCATCCTTGTGGGGCTTCGTTGGCTCACTGACTGCCCCAGTGCCAGCAGGGTGATGACTAGGGACCCTGTGTCTTACTGGTGAAGGCCTTGGGCACTGGACTTTAGACTTCTCAAAGTGAGTTCTCATCTACTTGTGCTTCATGTCACTCTACAGTCTCCATTTCACAGACAAGAAACTGCCCAGAGAAGGTCAGTAATTTGCCATAGGTTACACAGCAAAACAGCAGCTAAACGCCCTGTTTCCCTAACCTGTCGCAGAAAGGTGGTTTCTCATTTCACAGCCTTTTCTGAGCTTGACAGCATGACCACCTTCAATGGCCATAGGCCAGGCCAGCTTAGGGTTGACATCCTCCTTGAGGTCCTCTGGCCAGTTTTCTTTTTCTGAACTTCCCTCCCTACCCTGCTGTGTGGTTCCCTCCCCTACAGAGCTCTGTGAGCTGGGCCACATGCCCCGAGAGTCAACGGTGTCACTGAACATTCCCTCTATCTACTGCCTTGAGTGAAGCCAGGTTTTGGAGACGGGGGCTCTTGTGGCAGGGTGAAGGGCTGTTTCCCCAGCATCATCCTTTGCAGAATATACTCTGTCCCACTGCCATCCACATGGCTGCTGTGGGGGTTGCCAAGTTCTCAACTGATTGATTCAGCACTGGATACTGAACCCTACTGAACCAATGCGCCCCTTCCTGGGATCACCGGACTTGAGACAAGAGTAATCTTTCCAGAGCTGAAGACTGGGCACATAAAATGGGGGAGCTGTCAACTGCCTTATTTTTTTCTGTGGAAAAAGCTGGATTTCAGTGACAGCCAACAATTCCCAGAAAGTGGAATTGGGATGGAGAGGTTTTGGTTCAGTCCAGGGCATCTCTTGCATGGAGAAGATACAAACTTGACCTTTGGGATGGTCATCTCACCTTGCTCTGTGGCTCAGGAAAAGAGAAATAAATACCTTCCACGGGCAGTGCTTCTGGGTTCCAGACCTTCCTGAGGCCGGCTCCAGGCCCTGCTGCCCTCGGGCTCCTCCACACACCCAGGGGTCGGAGAGTAAGTGTCCTTTCTTTCTGCTCACGTGAGCCTGAGTAGTTGGGGTCCCTCGCCAGGGAAACACCCCCACCCCTGATTTGGGGGTGTTAGAAGGCAGCCCTCCTGCCCTGAACGAAGGCCCTCCCTGGAAGCCAGGCATCACCTCTCCACCGGCTTACTCTGTTTGTATCCCTAGCAGAGGGCCACTCCCCCGCCCCGTGGCCTCCTTGTGTGTCCCTGTCTCCCAGCTGCTGCCGGGGCGGGTACCTCACTCTCTTCAAGCGCAGCGGGACCCCGCACTCTTCCCAGTCCTGCTTCTTTGGTGGTTTCCTCCTCCACTTCGTTCCGGGGGTGATTACAAACCTTCTCTTTCAAAAGGCTCAAGCCACCAACTCCCTCTTTCTTCCGGGCAGTGACCTGCACTCCGCTTCACAGGGACGCAGGCGGTGGCGCGCTCTGCGCGGGGGCTTCCCTCCCGGCGCCGTGCGGTCCCAGGTCCGCCCCAGTCGCTCCGCCCCCTCGCCCCATTGGCTGCGCGGAGGGCACGTGCCCCACCCTGGCCAATGAGGTGGGGGAGGCCGCGGCGCGTAGCCGGGAACGCAGCTCCCGCTGGGGCGTCAGGTGAAGTCGCGAAGCAGAGCCGAGACGTGGGATAACCAGACACCCACACCATCCTCCCTCTAGTCACTGCTCTGGGTCCCCGCTGCCCTCACTGAAAGTAGGCACACGCGGGAGAGGTAAGGGCAGCTGCGTTAGAGTACATCCCCAGTCCTGCCATTCACCAGATATGCGCATTTCTGCTCGTTTCTTCATCTGTAAAATGAATAAGGTCACTGCCTCACAGGTCTGTGGCTGGACTGTTAAACGAGATACTGTGTGCTCAGCGCTCGGGTTAGGGTACAGACTCTAGACTTTGTAGCCACTGACTTAGAACCCTGTGCCCTTCTCACAGATCTTGGACCTCACGTTGGTTACTCGACCCCTCTGTGCCTGTTTCCTCATTTGTTAAATGTGGATAATAGTTCCACCTTATAAATGTGTAGAGGATCAAATGAGTTAATTCACGCAAAGAACTTAAACAGCACCTGGCACACACCAGTGTTCAGTCATTGGTAGTTTCACAGACACTTATTACCGCCAGCGCCGTCATGTGTCCTGCGCACATGTGGAGAGTTCCTATGGGGTGCAACTCTGGGAGCAGAACTGTTGGACCCCAGGGCATGTGCATGTCACTAGGTAAAGCCAAAGTGTTTTCCAGAGTTAGACTAATTTCGACTTTATCCAAGCAACCTGTGAGTTCCCATTGCTACCCATCCTTTTAAGACTAAAGTTTGTGCCATGTCTGCTAGCTCCAGATCACCCTTCTAGAAAAGCCTCTTCCTAAGCCTATGTCCTCCTTAAAACATGCCAGCAATGCCCTGATGCTCAGAGGATGGTGCCCAAATCCCTTAGCCTGGGATCCATCCCGGCCCCAGCCACACTTTTTTCCGATCACCTCCTCCACCGCTAGGCACTACCCACAGTCCCCCAGTGCCAGGTCCTTTGATACCACCAAGTTTCCATACCTATCAGTTCCTCTGCTGGAATGCTCCTCCTCACATGTCCAGTTGGCAATCTCATTCTTCTAGCTGAAATGTCACAGCCTCTGGGAAGCCTTCCAGAGATTCCTTAGTGAGCTGCTCCAGCACTTATCTGCCCACTAGTCCCAGTCATTCTGTATTCTACAGACTCAGTTTTTGTCTAGGTAATTGTGTGAGCCTCCCAGACGGGAGTGTGAGACTTCAGTAGGAGCGCAAAGAGGGCTTGCTAATGGAGTGAACCTCTGGCCTTGTGCCTGCCAGGACCCTGGCGTAACACCTGGGGAGCCAGTTTTGGTGATCAGGCAATATCAAAGGTGCCCAGCTAATACAGAAGACAGGATGAGAGTTAAGTGCTTTGGGGAAAGGATGGATGAGCAGTGGAGAGAAAGTTCAGGAAAAATCAGGAGATCAGAGGAGCAATTTAACTCATCCCCTTTTTCTCTGAAGACCTTCACCTCTTCCCTACTACAGTCCAATGAAACAGTCATTGCAAGTGCCCGCAAGACCCACTTGTGTGAAGAGGTAGAGGTTTATTGAAATATAAACATTCGAGAACATGTAAGATAGAAAATAACCACAACATATACAGACACTTGCTGCAAGAGGACGTCTGAGGTATTTATCCACTGCCTAGGCTACCCATGTGCTATCACATTTTTCCTGGTTAGAATACAAGTAAGATGGGGAGAGGGAGGGGACAGAGCAGCCCTGGCCAACAGCTGCCATGTGGCCTCAGGGCTGCACCATCAGGGAAAGCTTCTCTTGGCCCAGGGCCCCATTCTGGGGGCGCCTGCAGGCGCTCCCACCCTTGGGCTTTCAGGCTGAGACCCTGCTGTTGGCCCTGAAGGCTCTGAGGGCTCCCTGGGAGGGTAAAGCTGGGCTATCTGCTTGGGGAAAGGAAGAGGACCCAATGACCAGGAAGAAACAGTGCGCCGTCCTTGCGTCCTCTGGGTGGTTAAAGTCCATCCTTCATGACCAAACCCCTGAGAAAGACACACTGGTCAAATGTCTGCGATGCCTTCAGGTGGGCCCAGTGCCAGCCGACTGGGCTCCTCCCTGGCACAGACCCCAGACACCCTTCTCTGCCCAAGCCCTGCACTGGCCTGGTGGGTAAGGTGGGAAGGCTTCCGAGGCCAGGAGAGGGGCAGCCCCCACTGGATGGGGCTGTGTGTGTGTGCGCGCGCGCGTGTGCGCATGTGGGGTGTGGGGGAGGGGAGAGAGAAGATGCAGTCCAGCAAAGCTGCAGTTCACTGGGCTGAGGTAACTGTTTTGTGCTCAATCTTTTGATTTCCCTTTCCTTTCCTTTCCTAGACAGGGATGAATGTCAGCCACAAGTGGGCTTGTGCCACTGTGGGCTGCCACCGCCGCAGCCCACCAGCCTCACGGTGGGTGCGGGGTTCTGAGCACTGCAGGGCTGCCTTGACTGAGAGGCGAGCCCTGTGTGAGAACCCCTCTTCTTTACAACACAGGGGCAGCCTGCTCCACCCCAGGGTCCAAGATGAGAAACACAGCTCTCTCAGCATCTCCTCACCTTCTGGGGCAGCTCGAGCTCTGACGAGCCCGCACCTGTCCTGAGGAGGGAATGCTGAGTGAGAGGGAGATGCCCTGGCCCCACTCTGCTGAGCTGGGCGTAGGGATGTGGGACTGCCCCACTTCTGGCCAGAAATGGGTCAAGGGCCATCTTGAGAACCAGTGTGGTTTCAGGACCCAGCCTGTGCGAGAGCCAGCCTCTCTGTTCCACCTCATCCTGCCACTGCAATCCCTGAGTCATCTCTCCTGCGGCCTCCCCCGCCTCCTCGCTGGGGTCATAGGGAAGGGCCGGAGGGGCTGGGGTACCAAATCATTTGCTCGGCTTTGGGGGTGATCGGCTTTCGTTTCTTTGGTGCTACAATAACAACAATAAAAATTTTAAAGTAAAAAAAAAAAGTCAGAAAACACATATAAAAAAGATTTCAGAGATGCAAATACTTCCTGAAGAATCAAACATCAACAATTACAAATCTGAGGTATTTCAATGAACCTGACATTGGCAGGTTTGGGGATGTTGGGGCTGAGATGGCCCCATGAGAAGGGGGGCCCAAGGGACAAGTGGGCTGTTCCTGGGAGAGCTGGCAAACCCGGCTGAGTGGGGCTTGAGGTCTGGGAGGGTCAGAAAAGGGTCAGTGAAGAGGGTGCCAGGGCCTGACCGGGCAGCCCCTGCAGCTCTGCCTCTCCCTTGGCAATGTCCAGCAGGCCCTGGGTCCTGAGGACTGCCCTCACGAGCCCTTTCCTGGGACCATTAAAAGGGGGATATGGGGCCCTGAGGACTGCTCCAAGACGAATCAGAGGGACTTACACCCCAGGAACCACTCATGGTAGGCAAAGTGGGCTGGGAGTGGGAGGACCCCATCCCATGCTCAGCAGATTAGAACCAGGAAGGCATGCTCTTGGCTCCTAGCAGCCCCACATGGGAGTTAAAGACTGGGGGACTGAGCAGGGGAAGAGACCAGTGACCCTGAGGTCATGGCCAAAGGCAGGGGAAGGAAAATAAATTAAAGGGGAAGGGATGTGGAGGGCCTCCAGCCCTGTGTCAGCTTACAGATTGTCGATACACTGTGCCCGGGATGGGAGGTGGCCTGGGAGCCCTAGAGGAAGCTGGATGCCCACAGACCCCGCCCAGTTCTCCAGGACAATCCCTGATTGAACAACGCTGCCCTGTTCAGGCCCCTCCAGCCTCCCCCTGTCCCTAGAGTACAGCAGGACCTGAATGCAGCCTGGACAGACGGACACGTCCAAACTCTCAACATCTGGCCAAATGGGGTTTGACGTGGTCTCCGTGAGATGAGGTAAATGCTGTGCATCCCATCTCTCGGTGGGAGAGTGGGGAGTGAGAAGCTGGGTCCTGCCCTCAGAGGGACCAGCTGGTGGAGGGCTCTGCACTGGGGGTGCCCCGGGATGAGGTAGGACTTGGCGAGCAGTGAGAACTGCCGCTGCTGCTGGTGCTGCTGCTGATGCTCTGGGGAGCAGATGCTGTGATGAGGTGGACCACAGGCTTCTGGGCAAACAGCACACCTGGGGGCGGAGGAGGGGAGAAGTCAGTGTGAGCAGATGGGGAGAGAAGGGGTGGGCTCAGCTCACTGCACTGTATCTACCGCCGCCTAACTCTGTGCAAGGCTCCATGCTGGACGCCGCCCTGCCTGACAGGCTGGTGTGGGGGACAGAGTTATTTTGCTGAAATGTCACAAAGGCTCTAAGTGGAGTGTACCCAGGCAGTTGTGGGAACAAAAAGGTTTTAGAGGGCAGGGAAAGTGGGTCGGGAAAGGCTCCAGGGGGAGCATGCCCGGACTTCTACAAAAAGTGGCCAAATTTAGAGGAGGAGGTGGTACGGCAGGCAGAGGGAAGCTGAGGGACCACAGACAGAGCAGAGAGAGGTGGCAGGCATGCTGGAGCCTGACGCAGAGTGACCTACTGATGCTGGAGGCCAGGTCTGCGGCCCGTGAGGCCGAAGAGCTTGAGGGTGAGGTGACCGAGGCCAGCATGCCTCTAGGCAGCTGAGGTCTTACCCTGTAGGGATCATAAAGCCCCTGAAAGTTTTAAGAAGGGGAGGACCACCCTGCAACATGTGAACACTCTCTGTGGGGCTGGAAGGAGAGAGGCTGAATCGGGGCCGCGGCGGGGGTGCAGGGGAGGAGACAGTGGCGCAGGGGCATCTGCTCAGCTCTTGGGGGCGACAGGCCTGGGGGGCTGGCTCTCAGGAACGACTTCCAGGGCCCTGGCCTGGTGACCACACAGCTGCTGAGAAAGGGCACTGGTGGGACAGGATGGAGGCAGGTGAGGTGGGGGGAGCCTGCACTCTTCAGACTGCTCCCCATGCCGAGGGAGAAGGGCGAGAGGAGATGGAGATCCAGGCACTGATCACCCCCTTCTCTGCTTTCCCCACAGACCCACTCCCAGCCCCCACATCTCCAAGACCACCAGGGCACCACCAGAAGGCAAAGGACACCTGGGCCGTACCCACTGGCTCGCCCTGTCTCTGCCAGGGTCTGTGTTAGGCAGAGACCACTGAATGTGGCCTCGGAAGCACCAACTCTGTTGTGACTGGCAGGCACCTGGGCATCCCTGCTTCTCTGCGGGGTGCTTCCAGGAACTTGGTCCCTTCCCTAGCCCCAACCCTGATGGCCCCTGCAGGTGGCCTGGAGATCCAGAGCACGAGGGCAGCAAGGTGGTGTCACCAGGACACCGGCCCCCAGAATAGGAGCGCCGGGAGAGAAAACGCATGCCCCATGGAAATGCCCCTGGTGTTGATGGAAGGTGCAGCTCTAAGCGCTCCCCACTGGGCACCTCCCCATCCCCTCTGTAGGACAGGTGGCCGGTGCCAGGCTCTGTGGCCCCCACTTATCAAGCTGCACTGAACATGAGTCAGCTGGGTTCCTAAACTCACCCCTAAGCCAACAGAATGGGAGTGGGAAAAGGATTGCTGTTTCTATGAAAACTAAGGTGAACACCTTGGAGAGACTTGGTGGAGGTGCTAAACGAACCAACGAACCAACTAACAAGCAGCTGTTTTTTAGATCAGATTTAGGGAAAGGTAACTGTAAAAGCCTGGGGGGAAAAGTCATAAAAACACAGGCTGCTTCTGCTGCACTCAGACTCCTTTGCCTGTGCCTCCGTCCTTGGTTCATGACAGACAAGGTGGAGGAAGAGAAGAGCTGAACCCCAGTCAAAGAAAGGAGACTCGTGGATTAGAAATTAGCGGTGCTGACTTCATGTGTGATACCATGTGAAGGCATGGATAAAGCTGATGGTGATTCTTCACATTAAACGACTTTTTCAATTAATGATCCAACTGATGGTTAAAAGGATTAGACGAAGGGTCTGTATCAATCACTCTGACAAAGGTGGAGGGGGATCTGTCACCCTGTTAGCAATCCTCAGCCTCTCCTCGTTCAGAGGAACTGCTTTAGAACCTTGAGACTACATAAAAGGAAGTCGTGCCTGGGAAGGTGTTCAGATGGGGGGGGGTGGACAAGGGGGCCCTGCGAGGTGCTGCACTGAGGCTGGCTGCCATGGTGCCACCTCCCTCAGCGCATTGAGAGCCTCACCTGCATAGGTGGTGCCGTCGATGTCCACAGACATGTTGATGCTCCCGATGCTGCCTGTGGTCAGGTTCAGTGCTGCGGCCGAGGCCTCTGCTCTGTCTTCTGCTGGGGACAAGGGAGACAGCAGGCCCCGTCAAGCCTTCCAGGACTTCTGCTGTCCTCTCTGAGGCTCTCCCACCCTCCTGGCCTGGCCACAGCAGACTGAGGCCTCCCAGCATTAGAAGGTATCTGTATAACCTTCTCTTGAGTTAAGTCTTGAAGGAGAACCAGGCCAGCCAACGTCCTACTGCTTGCTTTCTCCACTGAACGACTTCACTTTGCCAACTCCCTCTACTCTTGGAGAAAAGGGATCACACAGGCAAGGAGGCTGACCTCGGCTGCTGGCTGTGCACGGATGCTTTCAACACGATTCAGCAAACCCTGCGCACCCACTATCCATCAGACTGGTGGTGGTGGATGAGAGGGGGACTGGAGATCAGTAAGACCCAGTCCCTGACTCTGAGGACTCACCTTGCCTCCTCTTCCCCTTAACTGGGCTGGGAGGTCCTCAAGGAGAAGGGCACTCCATCACAACCGGAGCACCTGGGATTCACAGAAGGCTGCAGGCGCTGGCTCACAGGGCCTCTGCCTGGCTCACCCTAGACCTTTTAATTATCCTTTCTCACACTGAGAGCCAAGAATTCTTCCAGATTGGCTGCCTCATCTATTAGCCTCTGGCTTGTGCAGGACCAGGGGCACCTGGCCTGAATGGGTGACAGGGCAGAGCCCTACTGTCCAGGCCGTTACCTCTGGCTCCCTTCGGCTCCTCGCCCAGGGGAACAGGGAACAGGGAGGAGCTGCCTGGGAGTACACACGGCTCCTTTCACACCTGATTCTTCCCAACACGGCCTGCTCATGTTTGTTCTCAGGCAGAGTCAAGGGCGAGAATGGCAAAGAAAATGTGTGTGAGGGGGAAAGGGGAGAAAGGGGAACAAGGGACCCGGAGTGTGTGGTTTAGGGGCCAAGAAGGTGGGGCACCTGAAAAATGAGGAGGGGAAAGGAAAGATGTCAGTTATGCTGCCAAACTTGTATTTCCTCCTTCTCGCTCTTCTGAGGGTCAATGGTAGCCCGGCCCGAGGCGGCTCTGGCCCCTCATTGAGCCTCGAGAAAGGAGGCGATGCCTTCCTCCCAGATGGTGAGCTCCTGGGTTGAAGGGCGACCCCTTTAATTGAGACGGATCAAAAGGCGGGAGGGACAGGGAAGACACAGCAGCTGTCCCTGGAGGTCCCTGGCTCCTCCTCCTTGAACAACTGCCTTTCCTTTCTGCTAGAGAACAGGGCACCACCTGAGGCCATTTCTGGTCCCCTGGAAAATGGCCCTGGCTTGGTGAACTGAGATCTCTGTGGTTACTGAAGCCCCAGGTGGCTCTCTGACCTCTACACCCTTCTAGGGACCTGGATGCCCCCGGGATGTGAACAGGCCCTCGAACAGAGCTGGGGGCCGCACGGGGCTGGCGCTCACCCCTGCCGTTGATCCTGATCTTCATGGGCAGCTGGCGCGCCATGCTGAGGAGGTTGCGCTGGAAGGCCTGCTGCACCAGGCGCTGCTCCTCCTCCGACAGCCTGGACGCCTTCTTCTCAGGGGGCTCCCCTGACTCCAGCCGCTCCCGCAGATGCTCCAGTGTGGCCGTCCGGGTACCGGCCTGCTGGCCAGCCAAGGTAACGGGCACAGCCAGGCGATTTGGCACGGGCACGGTTGTCACTGGGACTCCATCACCTGACAAAGGCACCAGGGCTGGACCCAACCATAATCCATCCTCCCACTTGTGTCTTCGACCCGGGGAACTTGGCGCCCTTCCTCCCTGCCCTCCCTCCTCCCAAGGGCCCTGCAGACCTTTCCTGAGAGTGGCTGCTGGGGATATCCGAGGGCCACTGGCATTGGTGCCACTGCCGGAGCCCAGCCCGAGGATGGGGAAGCGGATCTTGGGTGGAGAGAGGAGAGCAGGGGCCCCGGCAGCAGCAGAGGTAGCCGCGGGCGAGTAGCCAAAGAGGGAGGAGCTGTAGCTGGGCCGCCGGCCCTCCCTCCGGTTGCCGTCGATGGCTGCCTGGAGCTCAGCCGGGGAGCTCAAGGCCTTCTTCTCACACTCGTAGGCATAGAGATACTTCATGTACCTGAAGGGAAGGGAGGAAGGAGCTAAGGAGAGCCATCTAAATCACGGCACCAGGACGGCCCAGCTTAAGTCAGCAGGTCTCTGGAGGCGGCCTGTGCGGGGCAGGCTCTGTCCTGGCGGATCACAGCCTGGTGCACTTGGCCGAAGAGGGAACTCTGCGTGGCTGGACACCTCGCCAGGCCCTCTGACCGTGGCCCAGTTCTAAACACGGCTCAAACTGGAGGCATCGTTCATGAAGAGAAATAAACACCTTCGCTAATGTTTCATGTTTGCACGGCGCTTCTAGGGCCCTGCGAGAAAGGAGGCCCGTTTTGCAGTGTCTTTCTGGCTCCTCGATCTCCCAATGGTTCTGAGTCAGGCTGTCTCACAGGAGCACTTCTCCCCACTCTGTGCACTTCGGAGAGCTGGTCCTCTTTGTGTCAGATGCCCCACGAAGCAATTCGCGACCCAAGAACCTTGGGAGAAGAACTATTATGCTGGCTGTCCCTCTGTCTCCAGTTTCTGCTCCAACAGATAAAACCCTCTACTTTTCAACAAGCCTGAACCTGCCACCTAACCCACAGGGAGCTGCTCCTGCCGCACTCTTCACAGAGTGATGCCCAGAGTTCCGAAAGAACATCTTCCCCTCTGTCTTCATCCTCCAATGTCACTCTTGCTCTCACTGCTTCTCTCACCCTGGTAATTAACTCAAATGGTTACAAGAATAGGTTACCAGTCCCAGAGGGGCCTGACTGCCTGCCTTCCTCCGGGTCCATGGTTGCTGGGCAAGCTGAGTGGTGGGTGGGAAGGGCCAGGCTTAGGGTGGGGGTACTGTGTGGGAGACGATGTCCTGGAAAGAGAGTGGATTTCAGAGACAGAAGCCCAAGTGTGGATCTCGGCTCGACCACTTACTAGTTGGCATGGCTTTGACCAGACGATTTAACGTCTAAGACTTCGTTTTTGTTATCTGAAAAGCAAGGATAACACCTACTTTATGGAGTTGATGGTGAGGTTTGAATGAAACAGGATGTGAAGCAGCAGCACATAGGAGATGCTCAGGAAAGGGCAGCTCTCAGGATTATTTAGGTCCAGTGAGGGATTCGTCTGAGAAAGCTCCTGGCTCTTTCGGGAATTCCGCCCATCTTGCTCACTGTACAGTGGAATTTCCTTCCTTCCTCTCCTCTAGGTTAAAACATCCCCTTTCTCCAGCCTCGGCTTCCTTTCCCCAGGGCCCTAGCCACTCACTGGGTCCTCAGGGTGAAGGCGGCGCTGGTGATGGACGTGGGCAGGTTCAGGCCTTTGGTGATCTCCCTCCATATCTTTTTGTTGATGATCTCTACGAGGCCCCCCTTCTCTGTCACCAACTTATACAGCATATACAGGTCCAGAATCTGCTTGGCCATGATGGGGATTCGGTTGATGGGGGTCCCTGTGATTGTGAAGAGAGAGAAACAGAGGGTTGTGTCATCATCAAGCAGAGAAAAAAAGACATCTGTGGATGCCCACCTTTGCTGAGCTGGAAATATGTTCATATATCTGCTTAGCAGTATAATTTGACTCGAAATCCCAAAGCCTGGGACCTATCAGACTACTTGCCAGTTTTCTTTGGGATAAACAGAAAAGACAGGTCCAATCACAGGCTGTGTGGCCTTGGGTAAAACATATAGCCTCTCTGGGTCTTTTTCCCATCTGTAAATAAGAGGGCCAGACTAGATTACTTTAGAGATTATGATTATTACAATTGTTTTGCTGGCAGTACGATTCCAGATTCTTTCCTAATGATCTGGTGGCTGGCAGTCCACTGGAGCCTTTAGAAGCTATTCAGCTGCCTCCTCAGGGAAGTCCTTCCCTGACTCCCTAGACAAGGGAGGTCCTGCCCCATCATCCACCTAGATAGAACTCTGGGCTACTCTTTTGCAGCTCTCAGTGCAGTTTGTAACTGTCTTTTTATTTGCATACTGTCTGCTTTCTCCTTGTCTCTTCTCCTGCTGCAGGATGGAGAAATGGTTTTTTCTCTGCTGTGTCCCCGCTGTGTCAAAGGATCTGCTGGATACACAGGTCTCCCGGGGGATGAAAAGCCACTCAACAATTCTCTCCCCACTAATCACTCCACCCCCTCCCTGGCCTCTGAAAGAGGGAGGGTCAGAGCCGCTTCCGCTCACTGGCCCCGAAGGGAAGTGAGAGGAGCCAGGGGCTTGATTAGGAAACCTGGCACCGAGCAGGAAGGCCCACTAATGAGCACCAGGGGACGGCAGAGAGGGCGGGGGGGCAGAGAGGGCGGGGCCGGGCTCCTTTCACAGGCGGCCGAGATGCTCGTCAGGAGGCGTGATGGATGACTGTCATTTGGCAGCCTCGGGATTAATGATCTGGAGGTCAGAGGGGAGAATTCCAGCGGGAAGGGTCACCGTCCGGGGCAGGGTATGAGACTTGTTGCCTTTTGATGGCAAGTCCTTTTACTGTACACAGGCTGCTCCTCCTCTGCCTTGCCCCCTGCCCCTGCCCCCTGCCCCAATCTCACTGAGGTCTCGCTGACTGCCTGGTGGACGCCGGGCCAGCTTGATTAGAGAACGGCTGTTTGTTTCAGGTCCTCCTGCTTCTTTCCCGTCAAGGAATGGCATTTTCTTCTCAGCCCTGGAATGCTGGCCACACCAACTCTTTTAGAGGATAATTCAAGCCAGAGTGCAGTGAAGGGTCCCCGTTTATGAGCCCTGAACACATGGCACTGCTGTGGTGGGGCCTCTTTTCTAAGCGTGGAGGGAGCGAGAGGTCTTGAAGACCTTTGTCTTAACTGGTTGGTCTTTGGAGGGTCAAGGATAGAGGGGCCATAGAGTTAGACCGAAAGACTCATAGGCAAAATATCAGAGGACTTCTGGTGTGCTCCCAGATACAGAGCCTGCGTGCCGATTGATTTTCTCCCGGTGCGGTTCTGGACGGCAGACTACTCCTGTCAGAGATGAGTCTCATGGGGCAGAACTGGTCTCCTAGCTAAGGGCCACCTCCTTCTGGAGGCCTGTCTGCCCGAGCACACTCATGGCCTTGGCGAGGTCACACCCTCATGGCATCACCTGGAGAGTCTGGGAGGACCACTCCCAAGGTCCCCTCACACAGGACCCTGAAGCTCTCATTTCCTGAAGCTTCCAGGAGATCTTTGCACAGGTGACCTGTTCCCTCCCAGGTGAGATGTAGACACGAGCTCACCTCATCCCTTAGGCGAGCTCCCTCATTCCATCACTTCCTCTTCTTCCCCCAACACCATCATTCTCTGAGGTCAGTACTGGCTCCTCCTCTCTCCTCTCTCCTCTACCTTTAGGCTGTCAGGAGGCTCACAGATTCCTCCTCTGAGGACTCTCAAAGCTATCCTTCTCTCCGGCCCGCAGCCACCACCCCGGGCCAGGCTCTCGCTGGCTTCCCGATCGATGCCTGCAGCAGCGTCGCATCCATGCGCTCAACCCTCACGCCGCTGCCAGACAACCTGATGAAAACACTACTTCACCACATTACTCGCTTCCTTGTTTAAAGACCTGCAAAGGCTCAGCACTGGCCCATCCTACCGGGCACGTTCAATCCCATGACTCGGGTTCCAGAACACTCCCTAGAAGGGCACGTGACGTGCTTCAAGCATGTGCCAAAAGCTCACCCTCACTCCAGTGAGCTGGGTCTTCCCACCCTCACCCCAACCAAGCTCCTTTCTCCACTTTCTGCTTCGTGCTCAAATCCTCTCTACACTGGCTTCAATGGTCACTCCCTCATGGAGGATTTCCCAAGTACCTCAGTTCATGTGGATTCTTCTCTCTCAGAATTCCTACTATAACCCCACAAGTCCGGCAAATAATTACAACCTACTTGCTTCACGTGTGTTCACCTGGGATCCCGGGGAGACTGGAAGCGCCATGAAGGCAGGGACTGTTTTTCCTTCACCATGTCTTGAATATTGCAGTGTTTAATGAATTAAATTACCAAGCAGACTTTAAAAAACCCTGCTTCTCAGAGTTGCTTCAAAGCAACCAGCTCTGTGGTAACCCAACTGGGAATATTAGACGCACTTTCCTCAGGCCTGCGGTGCGCCTACCGGGTCCACCGCTAGCTCTACGTGTCTAACGCTGACAGCCCCGAACTGAAGTCACCCTCTTCTCTCAGGCCCTGGCAGGCTCATTAGGGTCACAGCCTTTGTTAAACAGACTGGGAGCTGAGGCCCAACATGGTCAAGCCCTTTGGGTCTGAGTGCTGTAAGTCCAACAAGAGGGCCAGCAGCACAAGAACGGATGGAGAGCTGGGGGTTTTGAGCACGTAAAGAAGCCATGACTTCATTCAGTGTGGCCAAAGAGAAGGGGGAACAGGTGTCAGAGAGGGGAAGGTGGCTGAGCGTGTGACGTGCGCAGAGCAGGCCGGCTAAGTGACCACAAAGCAGGGCTGGCCCGGCCGAGGCAGTGCTGTTCCTCAGAACAGTCACCTCAGAGAGCAGCTGCCACACGGTTTTAAGCCTCCGTTTGTGAACAGCCTTCAGAGTTTGCCCTGTTTTCATCTGAATCTCTCCAAGGGTCGTAAGTCTTCAAATGTAAAGGGTGCATTTACTTTTAGAAATGGTCACTGATGGAGGCAAGCCAGGAGAACAGGATGAAGTGACCCGGCTGTTCACACTGACTCTGTGTGAAGATGAGGCGTGGCCATAAACCATGACAGATTCTCCAGTGTGGCTCAAACTGCCCCAGAGAGGAATTACAGATGCACTCTGGGTAGTCACTGGACTAAAGGTCTGCTCATTTGAGACGGCTTATTTGAAAGACTACAATATCAGAGGTAGAAATGTCATCAGAAATTCGCCTTTTTACAGTCACACAGAGTGACTGTTATGCTGAGAACTGCTCAGGGCAGAAGGAAACAGGTAGACGGAGGACCTGAGAAGACAAGGAAGGAGCAAAGCAGCATTTCAAGTCCCAAAAGTGACCTCTTCCCAGCACCTCTGGAGAGAAACCTCAGGCCAGGGGTGCACTGGAACTCCAGCGATGGCCCCCGTGGTCCTGCTCTGTGGCCCAGCCCCACTCTGGGCACGTGGGGGTCATGCTTCCCTTCACCCGGGCCCCTGGGGCGTGGTCCCGGGGGTCAGTGGGTTAGGGGAACGAGGCTGGCCCTCTATGAAACTGCTAAAAGAAGCCCCCTCAGTACCAACAGAAACAAAGCCCAGGCCGCTCTGTGAGCCAGTTCTAGATGGCTTTCACACGGTATCCAGACAATCTAGATGTAAAACCTGCCCTGGCTTTGTATTCTTTCAACAACTGAGAGAGAGGCAGGGTGCTCAGGCTGGTCTGTCTCCGCAGTCCGCTCTGCGCTTAGTGGCCTGGTGGCCAGCTCCCTCGTCCCAAGGAGACTCAACTACGAAGAGAAGAGGAGAAGGCCTTTTCACTGAGTCTCCTTGCCTGAACAAGTAAGAGAACCAGCACATTATACTGGGGGGTGGGGAACGACATACTCAGGCCCCAGTTTTCCTGTCTGTCTGAAATGAGGAATTTGGACTCGATGACTTCCAGTTCTAAAGCCCTACGAATCTATGAATAAAAACTTAAAAGTTGATAGTCATGATTATTACCAAAGGGAGGCGACCTGGTTATAGGAGCTTGCTTGAATTACAGAATAAAGGTGCTAAGTGACCCTGAGATGGATGGTTTGGGATCTGCTATGAAGGACCCGTGTGTGGCTTAAATTCAAGTCCATCAGCAACTGTGGGAAAGGGGGGAGACTCTGACCTGCTCTCTGGGCTGGATTACATCTCCTCTAAAAAGGTTCTTCACCTGAGAGGGGACAGACCTCTGCCCACAATAACGGCAAAAGCAACCTGCAGAGGACCAGGAAGGAGGCCAGCAACCACTGCAGGGAGCTCTTTGTGGGTCACCAGTGCTGGCCCTGCAGGAGGCCGAATCTCTGCCTCCATCGCGCCTCCCAGAGGGGACGGGGCACCTGAAGGGGAAGCCTGTGGACTGTCAGTCACTGCTATCAAAGCAGGAGCTGGGATTGAGAGTAATTCATCATGCTCCCTCTGACAGGAATCCAGGGCCTTATCTGTACCCCAAGAAATGCCGCTGGTCTCCAGTTCCCTCCTCAATAAAGGAGACTGACAGTTCCAACAAAGAGGCCCCTTATCGGATTTCAGCCAGGGAGCCTGAGGCAGCCCAAGGGACGATGCAGAAAAGGCTTTTACGAGGGCCCTGGACTCAGTGAAGCTGCGAGGGCTCCTGGGGTTTTAACCCTTGGTGGTGGGGCTGCCACTGCACACCGGCACTAGCAGGCCAAGCTGTGAGCAGGAGCTGGCAGTGCAGATGGAGCCAAACAAAAACTGCTCCCCAGCACCTGGCTCTCCTGAGACTGCGGAGACAGGGCAGAGTTGGGGGGAAGGCAGAGTGAGGAGTCTCCTCCGGCACTAGAGACAAAGATGGG